TGTTAACACTGTGCTACATTACAGAGAAATACAAAACCGTACTAATGAACCTTCATTAATATAGGCCTATATTTTATCTACAAGTGCACGTCACACACTGAGCGAGCCGCCTGTTAATGACGCTGACGGCAAAGCAGTAATGATTGTGCTAAGTGGCTAATGGGCATGTAGCTACTGACATGTTTCAGATGATACGCCATGTTTGTAGTCGACCAATGAAGATGAGTTTACATATCACCTTGGGTTCGTCCTTCACCTTCTCAAAATGATCCCACACTTTGGATTTCCTGCCCGACATGTTATTAACTAGCCTGTGGAATAACCGCAGGTACCGGCCCTGGAAATTAACCTGACTCCTGTCTGACTGCTGAGTGTGGACACTTCCTGTGTATGACCTTTCAAATTAAATTCACACATGATCCAGTAAAATAGGTTTTGATTTATTTTGACAAGGCGCAGCTCCTAATAGAGTTTCACTTTTTTTTCTGCTACTAACCGAACAATGAAATCTTGCCAACTTATGACCTTTGTGGTTGACTAACGTTTGGTCGACTATGAGGGGACAGCCCTAGTGCTCACAGCGTCTGAGCTAGCTAACGTTAGAGCTGAGACAATAAGGATGCCATTAATGTTTACATCTCATGCTGTCATGAGCCTCTCGTCCATGAGTAGATGCACGCTTCCTTCTTTGCAGTGATACAGTTGGTAGGAATAGTTCGGTAGAAAGAAAATAGTTCCTACTTGAAGCTGCTCACAAGGTCTCTGGATTTTCTTGAGTAACTTGGTCATGATTTCTGTATTTAGTGTTGAGTTTTCAAATGTATTTTTTGGTGCTTTGAGCACCACAAGCCGAAAGCCATCTAGTTTCATTATATTCGAAAGAAGGCAAATACCTCTAGAACTGATAGCTCCAACACTTGGCAACTCACGCAAAAACAATCCAGATCAACAAACACTATTACAGGTAAGAGGAAAAATCTGTTCTTTTGATTTAGAGGTGAACTGTCCCTTTAACATGCATTGTTTTATAAATAACCTGGAAAATATCATACATAGACAATGAATAAATGCAACATCAGCTTTGTCTTTGTCCGGATGAAAGTCTTTATGGCTTGCTTTGTTCTCTTTGATTCTTAAGTGACTGTCATCTGGCGAGGTATGTGCTTACTTCTATCAGCATTGCAGCTTTTTCTTGGGGCAGTGGACTCCAATTTAGAAACAGAGGAAACAGTCAAATCGCTGTAGTGGGCATGGGCTTTCATTTGAATGTCCAAGCAATGCCCAAATCAGACAGTGTCTCTGTTCATTCTGCTCACTCCTGTATGTCACAGATCATCCTCCACCCCTTCACCCCTCTGTCTGTAGCAGTCCGTGGCGATGCCCTACCAGCGGCCGCAGTCTTTTCTGAGGATGTGAAGGATTTTGCGTCCCAGATTTGACTTCCAAGGTTTAACCAGGCTCTTGGTGTTGATCATCAGTCGGCCGGTCTTCCAGTCCTCATGACCGGCCACGACATACTCAGATCCTGGAGGACAGAAAGCAAAGCATGAGCCACTCTGATTCTCAAGAGAAAAATCACCTCATGTAAAAAAGAGTCATTATACAACTATAACCAACCAGTTAAATACTGTGCTGCTGTGGCTGGCTTGGATGAATGTTGCCACGATTACTGTGAAAGTGCTAGGTGTGAAATAGTCTCATAATAGAAAGGCGGCTCTAATCTTCGAGTTGTAAATGTCCAATCTAAATGAGTGATGCTAGGACGTTGGCACCCGCTCAAAGCCTCCGCGAGCAGCAACGAATATCCCATGTTTAGCACAAAACTGGCAGATTGTTCACTCAAGAGTCGACTAATTAATAAGCTTTTGCACGGGGAGCAATAAAGTTTATAAGTGGGGGTTGCTGCAGCTGACCTGGGTTGAGGATGGGACAGGTACAGCCTTGGCTGGTCCAGGACTCTGGGTAAAGGTTGACGTTTCCCCTCTGGATCTTCATCCGAGGGTTCTGGTGCAAGACCTTCTTGACCTTGACCTCCACTTCTGCGTGGGAGCCTTTATCATGAGCCGACATTACCTTCACCACCAGCACTGCCAAGGCAACACAAACAGTCATTCAACAAATAAGCAGCCTACAAACAACCACATCCAATCACCACTTTTATTCTTTTGCACCACAGACACATTTCTACTGTTAAAGGGAGGCTCTGAATCCAATGGTATAATGTCATCTGTGGCTCTGGAGGAGCTTTTTAAGTCTAGGAAAATAACCGGAGTGATGTCATCAGGATTTTGTTGGCTATTGGAGACTGCAAATGTTTTAACAGACACCCTGCATTATATGCTGGGGACATGGAATTTGAAAGATGTGGGCTTAAGTAGGCAGAGAGAGGCTACTGAGCTGCAACATGACAATTATAGGATCCAGCATTAATCCATGCTGTGGACGAGAAGTCAGATGTCTTGGCCTACTATTCTTTTACTCACAACTCAAGGTAAGTGCAATGCTAAATTTTGTTAGTGCTTCTTTAAAGGTAGCCTGTGGAGTTTTCGACCACTAGTGGTGCTGTGGAGCGATGTTTTTATGAGTGGGTTCTTGTTTTGTTTGTTCTGGTGCAAGTCCAAAAGGATGCAGGTGACAAGATACACTGATGGGGAAACGTTTGGCTAGAGGGATTTCTTGGTTGAAGTTGTCGTTTGGGTTAAAATGAATGGATTTCTGCTCTAGGCAAACTTCTCCCATGTGCAGCAAGATTTCTGCCAATGGTTTTACATTATTCTACTCTACTGGTGGTGTTAGCGCACAAAGAAAAGGTTGCAGTGCACCAGCAAAGGCATGTAAGAGGAAGACTTATAGCAAGTAAACAGCTTTCGGTCTTTTCAAAATCCACTTTGCAAATGTTTTCAGGAAACACAATGAAAGCCTTTTTCCCAAGCTGAAACTTCTATTACTTGATTTTTTTTTAATTTATTATCATTGGCAGTCCTCTTCCTTCCCTGGAAGAGGTTGCTAACAACCGCTACCCCAGCAGAGCCTTGGCCATCATCAAAGACTGCACTCACCCAGGGTAGACTTGCTGCCCTCTGGAAAGCACTACACATCAGTCAAACCCTGACAAACAGACTCAAACACAGCTTTTTCCCCACAGCAATAAGGTCTGTCAACAAATTCAAATTCACAGGATGATTCTTTTTTTTTATGGGTTACTACACTTTATGTGGTGGTGTAGTGGTAGTTGTCAATGAGGGTGTACTATTAGGCAGATGGGAAGGTTACCAAAGAGGAAGTGGGTATACTCTTCTATGTATTCCAATGGCTTTTTGGTTGATAAATGGAAATGGCCATAAAAAGAGGAAGGTATACCCTGTATAGCTGTGACTACTCTCCACTATACTACTGTCTGTATGTCTGCAGACTTTCATATTGGTTGATTTTTATATATAACCCTTGGGCTGCTGTCCTCTTATTTGTGTACGTACATGTGTAAAAACCAAAATCAATATTGCCTGCAGTCTCACAATACTCTACAGACGTTGGTTCCCAAGGTTCAAAGAGAACTAGACAAAAAGGCTTTTAAACACACTGCCTCTTTTTCCTGTTCCTATTGTGGTGAGTAACAATGAATGTAAACAGGAACTTCTTGTTAACAAGAAAACTCCGCAGGCACCTTTAAGACGACAATCACTTGACAGGATCTCACGTGGAGCAACCAATGTTTAGAAATGTTTTACAGACAGGTCTGATGGGTTCTGCAGACACTCCACTGTGTTGTTGAATAGAATCACCCTCCTTCACTGTCATGACTGGCTCACAAAATACTGAATATCAATATCAATTCCCTCTGTCAAACAGCACTTACCGTAGTCATACTCTGCAGCACAGAAGAGTTTAGGGCTGCCAAGGGTCACTTCCACACACTCACATTTCTCTGGAAAAAAATGAATCATGATTAATAAGATTGATATAAAATCCCTTCATCATGATGTATAGATTTCAAGATCAAAACAGCTGCATTTCATCTGTGTGGGTCGATGAGTGTGTGCAGCCTACGCGTGTGATATGACCTGTGACTCACCAGAGTGGTGCAGTGCAGAGAAAAGCTCCTCTACCCTAAAGAGTGCCGTCTCACTATTATTGCTGCTGTGTCCCATGTGGCCGGTGGCTGTATAGAAGACCTCCACATCTGAGCTGTGCCGCAGAGGTAAAACCAGTCAGAGGCAGGGCTCCACTCAGTGTTAATCATCCAGAATGCACTCCACCTCCACATCACACATCACTTAATCCAAGTGCAAATACATATGGAAATAGTATTAAGTCTTGGCTCTCACCCAGAGATGCAGTCACCAGTGTAGGGGTCACAGTCCCCTGTGCAGTCGCACGGACGACAGCCGTACTCATGCAGCCCCCAGTATCCCGGCATGCAGCTGTCACAGCGGGGGCCTCCAACACCGGGCTTACAAGTGCACTCCCCGCTGCTGGGGTTACAGAGAGTGCTACCTCCTGAGAGGATGGAGCCTACAGGGTGGCAGGAACAGGCTGCAGAGGAGCGGGGTGACAGAACAAGAGGACTGCATGTTAACATCTCTGTCTGTAGGTCAAACGCTGTGTCTCTTTTTTTTGGCACAGAAGCAGCACTCAGTATACATTATGAGCCTGTATGTATGCAAAGGACAAACACACTTGTAGAAGCACAAACAAACACATTTCGGAGTGTACACAGTGAACTCCCATGGCAATATGAACTGTATTTTATCATCCTCCTGTAACAAGCAACAAGCTGGGAGAACGTACTCAACATGCTTTAAGCAGCTGTGGCGAAAACAAACAGTAACTCACTCCCTCTCTACGCTGTCAGGCCTGCCGCCTGATGGTCCCTCGTGATGACAGATTGATTTTTGTTACAGACTCGCTTCATCTGTTTCCAAAAACGGCATGTTTGTTCTTAAAAATGCTTCAGTGTGCCTGGTGGGGGGGAAAGGGCAAGAATGGGAAAAATGTGCTCGCATGGTCCATGGGAAATTCCTCCATTGTTTGCAATTACAGTCACATTCCAAAACAGTGCGGCCTCCGTCATTCCTGCTAAGGAGCGGACTGGAGTCATCTTACTATCCCATCACTGGGAAGGCAGTGACTCAGTGAGGCACTGGAAGGAAATACCCTTATCAAAGAGATCAATCTGCTTTAATCAGAAGGGTCAAAAGAAAAATCAAATCTCTATTACTGCCTTTAAAATATCAAAGGCTCCCCTCTTAATTGGAATTCTCTGCTGGCATCTGTCCAGAGAGTTTAAAGCTTCACTCTGCAGAAGAAGATTTACAAGCTTTACCTTTGCAGGAGTCAGGGGCAGTTTTTGGTCGGCTGGGATCCCTGAAGAAGCCCTTCTTACAGTTCTGGCAGTGACGGCCCTCTGTGTTGTGGCGGCAGTCATCACACACGCCACCACTCCTCCGTCCAGTCGCCAGCCACAATCCCCGACTGAAGTGACAGCTCTTGGCGTGACCGTTACACTTGCACTCTGGGTTTAGATGGACATGTACAATCAAACACACTGAGACGTTTCTCTCTGCTCGGCTGAACTTTTAAAGCCCTGGTGATAGCAGTGATAACTCTTTCTGTAGCCAACACAAAAAGAGAGGAACTGCTCTGTTATTCATCATGCACAGGCGTCCAAAAGGTTACGTGTGATTTATGAGACGAAATTCATTTTCGAGATAAGTCTACACGCTGTGTGTCCTACTCTGTGTTTGACTCTCCTGCCCCATCACTCACTCTGGCACTCATGCGGTGTCCCTATGATGCCGTTGGCCGCCTGCCAGGGTTGGTCATTGTAGAGAGGTGCACAGCGCTCGCAGTGGTCACCGGCTGTGTTGTGTCTGCAGACACACTTGCCGTGGACCTGCAAGGCAAACAGACAGAAACATAATTGGAATTTCATTGCAGCTGCACGCATCTTTGTGACTGAATGTTTTTTCATGTGCTTCAGGAACATTGCTTAGAGCATAGGTATAGATTTAAGGGGGGACACAGGGCCCCCCTCAGTTTTTAGAGCATGTGCATTTGTCCCCTCCCAGTGAAAACTGGAAAGGAGCAGAGGGCTTTTACTTTGACAAAAAAAGGCATAAATTGGTGCATAAATGTAGGACATTAAGTGTTTGATGCTCAAAATTTTCTGGCGGAGGCTGCCCCAAACCCATCTTTTAATATGTGACCCCCCCCCCCTGCACCTGCACATGATATCAGGCAAACTGTTTATTTGTCCTGTGTGTGTGTCCATAAAAATCACCACCCACACCATTTTGTACCTGCTTTGAACTGCATCTAGATAAACAGTTGAAATTCAGACCTGGACTCTGCATCTCTTTTCTCAACACCCACCTGAGCACAAATAGTGTCCTGACCTGACACCCTGAGGCAATAGCTGCCACACCTATAGATCCATCATATGCACACTTCCATACACCCTTGGCTTTAGGAGTACTGCTGTATCATATTGTAGGATACCCTGACTTTTTGGAATGTATGTATTTTTAACAGAGTTTTAATTATGTTCTTCTTGAACTGCTAATTGTTGGGAGATGTTTATTACCCTGGGCAGGTTGGATGGTTAACTACGTCTGTCATCAGCCTGTGGACTAATGCAGGGATGAGTCCTAAAACCCGTAAATGAGTTAGCATTTTTGCACTACGGCTTCCCTCGTCTTGAAGTCAGTGGGTTTTTGTTTAGATACCTGAAATAAGGTCTGTAGTTAACACAAGCTTAAGAGACTTTCGGTTTTGTTCTACAACATAACATATGTCAGTAAATACCCCACTAACTAACTTCTGAAGCTTTAACGTGTTAAAAATGTGGTTGCTAACAAGTGGCTAATGAGACCACAAAATGCCATCACTCCGAACACGGCTTTACAGCCTTGTTGTGGTGGCGACGTTGAAATCATGCAACCGTGGTGCAGTTTGTTTATAGCCTAATGTTAGCTCTTTACCTCTGGAGACTGCATTTATGCTTCAGAAATCCTAGAAGTGGTGCTCCTTTGTGAAGATTATCTTGCTGAACAAAACATGTTATGTATCATTAACTCTGGTTTGCCACAGAGCTTATTTTCTGCAATAATCCAAAATCCAATGTAAAATACCACAGGCTTTTTGTCAAGGGAGCCAGCCTACTAATAAACACCATCCCTGCAGCACTGTATATGTGTGTGGTGACTATTTTAAAACATTTCTGCTTGACAAAGATCATACAGAGCTAAACATTATGCATTTAAATTCATTTGTGGTCTGTAGTCAGTGTGCAGGTTTTCATTGAGGCTGATTTCCAGCAGTCCTGCACCCACATGATGTAGGCGTGTACCTGACACACGTAATACTTCTATTGCAACAATCACAGTGGTTACACACTGTGTAGCTTATTACCACCTGTGTAACGTCTCTACACCCTCTCAGACCATGTTGGAATTAAACTAGTGCTTCTGTTCTCCATTTACAGTAAAGAGAATAACACGACAGAGACTATGGGCTGTTAAAGCATTAGCTTGAATACCATAATTAAGGTTTCCACATCCTTAAAGCCCTGTAATGGTAGGTAAAGCTGTGGCCTAATATCCAGTCTTCACTGCAGCCTTCAGCTTCAGCGGCACATACCAACACACAGCTGAGTAACAAGGGAGTGGTGGGAACAAAACCCCAAACCTGCTACTCCCCATGGCACCACATAAACAAATAAAAACAGAGACTAAATTAAGCTATCAGCAGACTTGTGCATGACACGACATCTCTGTAAGTTTTCACAACAGAGGAGCAGAAGCTTTTCCTCGGTGCACTGTGCACCTGTGAGCTGTACGTATGTTCATAAACCCAGCTCAGGAATGGCTCACCATGTTGTTGGTCTTCTGTTGGCTGGGCTGGAACCCCCCGGCTGGGACACAGTGGTCAGCGTGTCCATTACAAAGGCAGCTGCCTTTGACAATGAAATCATAGATGGCATAGTGGTCTGTGGGGAGAACGGCAGCATCAGGATGTTTGGCCTGGCAGGGACACTGCTGGCGCTGCAGCAGGCGGACTCTGAGGTTGGTGATCATGAGCTGGTTCTGGGCGGCTGGTCCGTATGGATCCACTGAGTGCCAGGGCGACAAGGCTCGATAGATCACCTGGAGAGAGAAATACAAGAGTGTTGTAGAAAAAGTGTGCTTTGATGGTAATTAACCTAGAGGCCTTTTAAAGCCCTTCAGCCTTGCTTTATGTCGAGAGGCTTTACTCTGGGTGCAAGGAGGTAAAGTTAAGATGGAGACCTTGTAGAGGTACCCGACTCTCATGGTAAGAAGTCTGAACCAAAGGTTGCACAACACGGTTTTCCCTCCCTCAGGGTGGTGTGATTATGACAAGACATAAAAACAACAGCTTTTAAAAGAACGGATAAAAACACAGGAGTGTAGAAAAACAGAGGAAATAAGAGAATTGAAATGAAATTAAAACTCAAGTAAAATCAGGAAAGGCTCTCAGATGTATGTTTTAAGAAGGGACCTGATTTGCTCAGGCAGATTGTTCCAGACAGCAAATGCTCTGTCTCATTTAGTTTTCAGCTGAGCCTCTGGAACAGACAAAAGACCTCTGCCCTAGGACCCCAAAGTTCATCCTGGCGTGTGCAGCACTAAGAGGTCAGAGATACAGCTGGGAGAGATCATGAAGAGTCTTAAAAGTAATCAGTAAAATCTTAAAATCTGTTCTAAAACATACTGGGAACCAGTGTAAAGAGGCTGAAACTGGTCTCTTGGTTCTGGTTAAAAGCCTGGCAGCTGAATTCTGCATATTAAAGTCAGGACAACTGAAGCTCTTTGAGTTATTCTTATATTCCTCTAAGTGAGAATTCAATTCCACTCAATTTTATTTATATAGCCAGGTATCACAAATCCCAATTTGCCTCAGGAGGGCTTTACCGTGGATCCTCACAGCAGATAAGGAAAAATCCCCCTCCCAAAAACCCTCTAATTGCAAAAAAAAGCAAAAAACCTCAAGAGGAGCAGCAGCTGAGGAGGGATCCCTCTCGAAGTACAAGTTTTCTACATCAAAGAGAAAATGTCTCAAATTTTGTTATTCCTCTTGTAAAAGCCTCTCTAAGAAGTGAGAAACTCATCTTAGAGACACCGACAGACCGTGACGAAAACAAACATTATACCAGTTTCTCTTCTTTCTCAGTCGGCTAAATAAAAAACAGACATCAATCTGTTTCGCCTTTCATGCTCCTCAAATAGCTGCTATTCTCGGAAAATGAGACCAGCGCCAATGTAAACACGGACAAATGGTTCTTGTTCTCCCTCATTAAGTTTAACTGAATGTTGATCTTTCTGATACATCCTCTCTGTCTGGATATCAAAACATGCACATGCACAAAAAACAGGTCCTTACACCTCATCACAACATCAAGAATGGAAACTGTCACATTCATAATGAGGACTGTGTTCATTCTTTATGAAAATCAAACAGAAAGCAGGAAGCAAAAGTGTGTAAGACCCAAAAATCTATCGACCTGGACAAATTTCATCTTCAATACACTCTTTTATTTTTCAATCCAAGTCTTAAAGTAGTTCTGTGTCTCAGTGTCGGGTAGATCTAAAGGGTAACTTAAACATTTTTCAGCGTGGACCCTATTTTCCATGTATTTGTGTCTAAGTGACTGATGAACAACAATTTCTGGAATATACCCTTCACTAAGTCCCACCCCAGACACAGACTGGCCAATCATGACGTAGCATCATCCAGCTCAGACCAGGGTCCGACAACAACACAGCTGTGCTCCATTGACTCTAATACAATCATCTCAGATTTCCTTCATTTTCAGGCTGGTTTTGTGGATTTGGCGCTAAATGTTGTGTCTGGGGCACGTCGTGTATTAATGATACTCATTACCTGAAGAGTTTGGAAAAAGACATACGTTTCTTCCCTGTTCCAAAACCAAAATCAAACCCTGAAAAGTGTAGGGTTAGCTAGCTAGCTACTGAAGATATAGCCTACTGAATGTATACACATGCTGCTTTTGCTTTTTAATGATTATATGACTTCATAAGACCGACCCTGCTGTACAGGAACCAGTGAAGGGAAGCAGGGAAACTCTGTGCGCAGATGAACGTTGTTTGACTTCCACTGGAGATCCCTGCCTGTGTGGTGGCTGAGGTGAAGGGGGCACGGGGGCAAAGCCAAACACGGTTCATCTGCACACACTGCGATGCCACACAGCTGGTTCAATATCAGCAAAGTTTCCCTTTATATTCATTGTCTTGTGTGGCGATCAGCAGTGATGTGGTGGTTCACTTTTACACTGTGATCTGTAGCCTATAGTTCGGCTTTAGCTTCTAACTATCTTTGTCTTTTTAACCTGTTGTTGCTGCTGAGTCAGTTTGACATCCTGGATATATCCTTCAAACACAGACTGTAGACCCCTCTGTCTGCTTCCCTCTGGAATCACTCTTTCATTTTACCACAAATATGATAATGTTTCCTCAGGGAGAGCAATTAGTCACAGTGTGGGCTCCATGCTTACTGCGACAGCTTGTCACACCATCAAGAAGGGGCGGGGCTTAGCGAAAGGTCAGTTGGTAAGGTATTGAGAGAGAGGGGCAATTGAACACTGTCACTGTATAATTTAAAGTGGTTATTTTTGCAACAGACAGGTTCAAATTGTTATTATATGTGTCTGAAGTGTCTCTTTATCTTATGCTTGATCTGATCTGTTCGTTATTGTCTCATCAAGCGGATGTCTTGCAGTAAAATCTCACCAGATGTGCCTTATTGTAGTCAGACAAACGTGAAAAAAGTAGTAGTAGTAGTTTACAGAAAATGTATCTTAGTGTTATCTAAAAGATTTTGAATGTCATGCATGGTTAATTTGCTGATTTCGACAATATGGACGAGGCCTTTGAATTTGATTTATTTGAGCTAGAGTACACAGATGAAGAGCAGGTGCTAAAAACATCTTGACTGATATATATCACTACAGGTCAAAGGACAAATATGTACTTTTAATTTGGGGGGGGGACTGTCCCTTCAAGCATATGTTGCCTGTGGTGTTACTTTATGACTGAAACTCGATTTTCACACCACATTTTGGGGATGTCTTTGCATGTTGAACAACAGAGACACTAATTATAAAGGGTGAGGGGCTTACACTAGAGAGCTGACATACTGTAGCAAGACACATACTTGTTGCAAATACACTGCAATTATGAGATCAGTCAAAGCCATAAATTCATTCAGACGTTTAACCAGAAACTCCCAACGTGGTCTGAGGCTCTCTGGAGCAAAACAAATCTTTACCATCCAGTGAGAGTCTCTTTTTTTACACCATCTGTGTGAATGAATAAATGCTCGGCTCATGAATTAACCATAGCTGGTTATCTGGCTAAACCTCCCTGTGATGATACAGCAGCTCCCAAAAATGCTTTGGGGGAAACATCAGAGGTAAAAGTGAACATTGATATTCTAGCCGTGCATGTCAAAGCAGTTTGAGGCTCAGAAGGCTGGCCTAACAGAAAAAGGTCTCCCACAGCCTGTCAGAGGAGGTCAGTTTACAAAGTGGCTGTTTGTTCAGTGGGTTGTGTGATATCAGCTTATAGTGCATCCTCCCCGTGCCAATAAATGGACAACAAGAGCAGAGCAGATGGTGAGTGTTATTGCTGTGAAGTGCTGGGGGAATGTCTGGCAGCATGTTTTGATGTGGTCACTCTCAGATCTCAGGAATAAAATCACAATCCAATACTGAAATGTCTTCTCTGGGCTGCAGATGACTGGCCCTTGATCTACTTGTATGTATAATAGAGTTTTAATTCAGTGAAGATTAGGGCTGGGTATATTTTATTCTATATTATTGTCCACAAACTTTTCTGTGGAATCATATTGTGACAACGCGATCATAGCTATGCTATAGCTGTGATATTCAACTCACAGTTTGCAGGCCAAATCTGGCCCCCGCTAGGGTGCCAAGTGGCCCTGCAACCATTTTCTTATTGATAATGAAAATAAATTGATGTTTGATCATGGACTTTCCACATCCAGACACAACATGAAAGGTACCCTGGGTGCGTTGGTTGTTAACGTTCTGGGACACCGTGTCAAGTTCTGCCTGTTACATGCATTGTCTTCTTTCAAGATACACTTCCAGTTTTACAGGAAATTGACCGTTTACATACAGTCTCTTTCAAAATAAACGCACTACGTCAGTACAACACCCCAAAATTGACCTTTTTTTTCCCTTCAACAACAAAAACACGTGGTTAGCTTTAGGAAAATAGAACAAGGTTTGGCTTTAGAAGCTTACAGGATGCGAACACCGCTCTCTCAGGTGAAAGTTGGTGTTTGTTGGACCCATTCACCACCCCTCCCACCCACCCCAGTTGGACTTTCACCACTTTAACTTTTATTGTTGTCCCACCATGTTCCCCCCTGACACCACCAGCACCATTAAACTATAACCGCAACCAGCCGCATATCATGCTGACGTTAAAGGACGCCTTTTTTCGTTGGTTTCTGACGCAGCAAGTCAGCACCAGATTTTGACAAATTTAGAGTGAGACCAGGCTCACCAAAAAGCATTTTAAAAAAAAGCATAAAAAAGAGCTTGTTTATCAAAAATAGTGCCAGGGGAGGATCCTCCCCGACAGAGGCATGGGCTAATCCCTGGTGGGTCTAGCGATTAGCCAATCAGCGCCACGCCGATGTCAAGCTGTGCGCCAGTGGGTAACTGGTGAGGATAGCAACAATGGCAACCGCTACAGATCCTACAGACCATATTAACGATGCTATCGAGGTATTTCGCCACTATTCGCGTTAATGGAGGACCAAATTAAGGAAGCTGCTAAACTGGATTTAACGGCGATGCAGCTGGGAGTGCATGACGACGGAGACATTTTAAACGGGCAATGCTCGCTTGTTTTCGGCACCCCCGAGGCACGGATACTAATGACGTCAGATTCTGGGTGAGTTGTTGATCTCTACTGATTGGTTAGGGAAAAATCAAATACCCTCCTCCTTGTAAATCGCCTTCAGTGGAGGCGATGTCAGACTGAAGGTTCTGGGAGCTTCAGTCTGACACTCAGGCTAGGCCCCTGGGCCAAGTTGAGTATATAATGCACAACAATGGAAAACAGTTCCTTCAACAACTGTCAGTTTGATTGTTTTATATAAGTTATATTGCTTACATTTGGCATACCAAGATATAAATATCAAAAAAACTATGAAAGTAAAATGTACTTCAGTAATTTAAAGGATATTCACATGAGGAGCAGACACTTTAAACCTTGTCTTGTGTAAGTGTAACCTCTAAAAGAAAACTTGCCAGTGATGCTGTTTAGATAAATCTTTGATGTTCTCTGCATTCTGCCCAAGTAGGACATCATATTGCCAGAGGCTTGTTCATCTGAAAAGGTGTTGTGTTCCCTAAAACAGACACAGTAATATTTTTTGGAGTTGAATGAATATGTACAGTGCTGTACAATGCTCACTCAGGGGTGGACGTACAGTGGGCCTGCACCACCAGCTGCCAGCCAGCAACACAACCATCAGAAAAAAATCTAATGTGGCACTGTAGGTTTCTGTAAATTGCAGATTTGCATGTTGTCATGCAGCAGGTACAATAAAAGTTTCTGTTTTAACAATGCTGTGGTTAATGTATGGTCAGCTTTGGAAACAAAAACTACAATCCCGGCAGGAAAAGCAGCGATGTCTGGGTAACAAAACAACCACCATTCATGCCTAAAAAGCCACTGGAAACACAGCAATGGTAAATCCCTAATGGCTTTGTTGTTTGTTGCTTGAACAGTGGTCTGCAGCTCAAGTCAGCTCATACACTACGTCACATTAGAAACGTTTATATGATGCATGTGACTGGTCTCAGCTACATTTTGCTATGACTGTGCTTGATTATGGGAATGTATTATACATTAATGCACCCACCTAGTGATGGCATGCACTGGATTTTGAGTATCATGGTCCATTGAGTTTTATTATCAACTGTAAGCAGCTACCTCATCACTCTATCCTGGATGCTCAGGTTGGGTGGCTCTCTTTACAGTTTCGTAGACTTTACAAAGCTATTCTTGGCCTACTTCCAGCATATGTGTGTACATTAAGCAAAAAATTGAAAATGGCTCTGCTCTCCATTCTCAACATGTTTTTGTTGTCCGTACTGAGAATACGTAGAGTTTGGGAAACGTGTGCAATCTTCTGCAGAGGAACTTGAAGTTGCACTCAGTCGCAATCATCTATATGACAATGTCAGGATGTATTTAAGCCGGTCTTTCCCTTGTTTTATGTTTTTATGGTTCACCTACAGCATATATTAACATACTTTTAGGCTTTTCTTTGTAGTAATCTCATGAAGTGTTTTATATTGCTTGTTTAAGAGCTATATATGTTTAGCTTGTATTTTTGTTCCATGTTGTCTGTCTGGAACTTTATGTTGCTGCCTGCCTGGTTAAATGAAGGTTGAATAAAATAAAATAAATGTGAAAATGCATCTTATTCATGGATTGCAGAAACATATAATACCAACATTTTCTTCCTGACCTCCTGCTCCTCAAGATGTTATCGCAAAACAATGTAATTTTAGGGTTCCTCTGTCCCTAAGCTTCCAAAAGCACTGAAACACGCAAGAAATATATGTTTTAAAAATCCATTTTCTTTACGTGCATTTAATATATCTATGGTTTGTCTAGTTTATATGTTTTTGTCCGTGTACTCCTACATCTGTGAGCTTATGATTTCAAATTTGTGTTCTGTAAAATGAAATGAGAGCTGACACAACATGATGTATGTAATTTCATCTTTTGCTCAACAAAAACACTTTACCCACTTCTTGGTTTGTTTCCAGTAAAGTGATATACTTCTTCTTATCTTCTGTTTTTAATTGACCTGTAGAAGTAAGTGTCTTTCTATGTGGCCCCCAACCACACCCCTCTCATGCCACACTGTGTACTCACCTCTCCTCTGGTGCAAGGAAAAGCTCCTGAATACTTGGAGGTGCAGGTTGCTCCACTCTCCCCGTCTGTCGACCCCTCTGCCAGGCCGAACACCCCCTCACAGTCCCGGGCAAAGTACCTGAGAGCCCTCCAGGTGAGCCCGTGGTCCTGGGAGCGCTCCAGCACCATGGCAGCGGGGCGGGGGGAGCGGAACACCAGGATGAGGTGGGTGAGGAGGAACTCCGTCTCCAGGTCGAGCTGGAGCGTCTCCTGCTTCACCCCCTCCGCAGACTGCCACCAAGTGTCCGGGTAGCGGAAAGAGGAGTCGCTCATGGCGGAGGGAGGGTGCGCCTGGCTGGGGATAGCTGAGTTGCACTTGGTGCATTTTGCAAGCAGGCAGGACTCCCTGCTCCGGGGGGAGGATGCCTCTTTGTAGATACAGTAGGGCTCCGAGGAGTTGGAGCCGCACATCGACAGGGTGCTCAGGACTCTGCCCTGGGCCAGGTTGCCCATGCGGGGGTTGCAGGCTCGGCCGGAGCAGCGGCTCTCCGCAGATGGAGGTTTGGACTTAGACGTCTCTGTAAGGAAAAAGTTACTTTTAGTGTGATATGAGGTGAAAGAAGAATGGTGAGTTTCGGTTCCCGCTTCCCCAACTCCCCTTCTTGAATTTGTGTGATGCTGTGAGGCACGTGGGTTTCCCAGAACAACACGCGCAAAGCTTGATTAAGTCATCCACATCTTCATTAATGAGTGAAAGTGTCAGACACACACTCACCTGCTGACAGAGGAGAGGATGCGCACACCGGGATAATGAAGAGCAAAGTCCACAGTCTCATCCTGAAGCAGCTGTTGTTCCTCTACATAAAGTCACCTGTCTTATATTCCTCACAGTTTGATCCAAGGATACCCACACGTTAATAATCCAACATGCTCCTCTCCGCTATAAAATAACTACTCACACACGGGTACAGAAATGAACAAAGTCAACAGACCTGAGCCTATTCTTGTCTGTCATGGTGTAGAAATAAAAGCCTTGTTAGAGTTGACTCGTATGATCTGAGCGCTCTGCAGTCCTTATCCTTAAATTATTCCAGCCCACGCACTTCAGGGTTCAACTTGCTGTGGAGAGTTCATTGACATTTGGGAATATGAAGAGGTTAGCACCGCCCTCCTCCTCTTGTCTTCTCCCAGGCCCCGCCCACACTGGCTCCTAAAATCAGGAGCATCAGACCCATCTGTGGGAGACTTGTTGGTATATACTGTATTTTAAAATAGATGTTTTGATTATGATTGTGTGTGTAGGATTTAGGGGATATATTGGCAGAAATGGAATATAATCTAATAAGTGTATTTTCTTATGGCATGGTGGTACAGTGGTTAGCATTGTTACCTCACAATCAGAAGGTTCCTGGTTTGAACCCCAGGGTTTTCTTCGGGTGCTCCGGCTTCCTCGCACAGTCCAAAGACATACAGGTTAATTGTGACTATAAATTGCCTGTAGATGTGAGTGTGAATGGTTGTCTGCCTCTATATGTCAGCCCTAGTCTGACGACCTGTCCAAGGTGTACACCGCCTCTCGCCCAGTGTCAGCTGGGATAGTCTCCAGCCCACCCGTGACCCCAAACAGGATAAGCGGTTACGGAAAATGAATAAATGCAGTATGTTTTCTTTAGTGTATAATCATCTGAAAATAACAATCGTGTTTTTGTTACCTTGGAATTAATTTATATCTTCATAGGGAGCAGGTCCTCATCTACAGAGATCACCATGTTGCACTGCCATGTTTGTACAGTAGCCCAGAATGGACAAACCAAACACTGGCTCTATATAGGGACATTTGTATTTTTGTGTCAGCCCCTCGGCGATGACAGCATCAGAAAAACACTGTCTTTTTTAACATTAAACAGCTTTATTCAGTGATTTTAACCAGATTAAATCACCAGGTCTGTTTGTTTTTGGAGAGAAACAGACCTCTGCAGATAGCTCAGCTCCTTGTAAAAACGTCCTTAATGTCTGGATCTTAAGTTATCAGACAAAAAAATGTAGCAACTACTATCAAAGAAAAAAAACACTAAGAAGCTGAGCAGGCTCGTAACTGTGACTCTAAATGCTGAATTCCAAAGATGCCTTTTATGGTGATTTATCAAACAAACAACTGAGATAACTGAAGCAAAAAGAGATTAAATGAAATATTATTCCTTGTGATATTACGTGATGTGATTACGGTCAACAGAAAATATAGCAGCCAAAAACTCACCCACTTTGTCTAAAAATCACCACGTCAATGAATGAACAGGTAAAACAATGTGAAACCACACCCACCCCTGTGCCAAACAAATAATAAACAGAGGTTAAATACAAATTCTGGCTCCTACAAAAAAGGTTAGCACATATTAGCATGTGGTGGACAAGCTACCCGTCTCTAACCTGACGGAAAGCGTCGCAGAAACTGATTTGTATATGAAACTGCTTTTCTTAGTGTTTTTTTTTTACTGGTTTATTCACCTTGGGTCACATTTATAAAAAATTGCGTACAAACAAAACGAGGCCTGAAAGAGGCCTACACCACTTTCCACTCAGAAAATGTGATCTATAACAACAGACTTAACGGGAGAAACTTTGACCCATGCTTACAAACATTTTGGAGATGGGAAGTTGGTGACGCAGATGGTGAGGTGAAAGCCTGATTGTAGAAATTGTTAATAATTTCGCTCCCGGTAAAAACCTACTGAACAATGAACACTGAAGGAATGACAAGTTTCAGCTGGTTTTAATCTGCAATCCTCACCGTTAGATGCCACAAAATCCCCCTAAATCTTGCACACTGTTTCTTTAACAATCATCTACCTTACACAAAAGACCATCTGCATCAGCCTCAGACTTATAAATGCATATTTTACCCTTGTGCAGCATTAACTTTTTCTCTGCATTCCTCCATAAACACCCATAATGAGAGAGGTTGTTCTTTTATCAGATGTAGAGTAGAAAAGCACTGGTCTAAAACAGAAAGTGAGACATTTAGATTGCCTCCACGAACCACCCAGGCACTCGAGCGCTGAACGACAAGTATGTCATTGTGTTGCATTCCTTCCATACATCACCACTTATTTCTAACTGCCACTCATTAACCACGCTTTACCTGCCTCATCAGACTGACAACAGCCCCGGACCTGAGGGGGTCGCACAACCCTTGACCCCAATAATCATCCAGTTGCATGCCATTTTTTTGGAAAACTTTCACAGTGACATCACCCCATTGAGTCTAAAGAGACATTTCAAGGAATAAAAGGTCATATGATATTACAGGTTGCTCTGCCGGTGGCTAACTAATTTCTCATAAACATTTGATACCATGTAAAAGCTTTATAGTGTGGAGTAGAAAGCCACAGATGGGACAGGCTGATGAGAGACGATGAGTCATTGAGAATATGCATCATACCTGTGAATACATGAGGTCAGGAGTGAATACGGCCTGTTGTATGACTCATCCTCTCATATATGTGAGCCTGTATACGTTAAAGGAGAAGAAGGGGGGTCATGAGCATTCCCTGTCTTTTCCCTAAAGGCATCCCGGATCAGGACATTCCTTGAATACTGCTCCCCTTGTCACAGTGACGGCCTCCTCTCTTTAAAGAGGGACAGGGTTCATGTCTGTGTGTTTTTAGATTTGCATGGGTTATTTCGGTTGTCTCCAGATGATCCGCCGGGGCAAGGGGTGATGCACCTTGAGCTGTTCCCTTTGTACATCCCTCGCATGTTTCTCGATCCTCAACTCCCAGGAGCCCAGGAGCCACCGTGGAAAAATGCTGCAGAGGAAGGATGTCTAATCTCAGCCAGTCTGTGTGTATTCCCCTGGCAGGATGAAAGCAACGCTCATGACAAACAAATTCCTCTTCTCTCTTTGACTCCAGCTGTTTGTTGTTTTCCTCTGTTACACAACTTGAATTCTACTGAGACAAATCATTAAAGGAAGAGTGTGACATTTTTGGGAAAATATTTGCTTTCTCACTCAAAAGTTAGATCAGACCATGTCTGTATGGTAAATGTGAAGCTAGAGCCTGCAGCCAGTTAGCTTAGCTTAGCACAAAGATTGGAAACAGGGCGAAATAGTTATGCTATGAGGCAAAATTTGCAGTGCTGTGTCACAAAGACCTAATAGAATCGATTGTGATTCTCCTGATGTTATCAAGAATTAGACATGGAGAACAAACTCGATTTTGCTGTCTGTGGGCACCTGGATCTCCATTAGTCAACATCACTACTGTACAGAGACAGAAGTGACGGGGAGAGGGCTTTAAAGAAAGTGAATCAAGCCATAGAAATACATGGTAAGTTCTCAAAATATGTATTTGTGACTTGTGTAAGCTATTTGTTGAGTTGTTTCTCAACAAAATGCTCTGAGTATTTCATTTTGGTCTTTGTAGTGAAAAGTAGACAACGGAAGAAGCTGTAATGCATTGCCTTAGACGATATAAAAAATAATGAAGTGTGTTGCTGTCTTGGTTCACACTGGTTCAGAGAGCCAAGCATCCATGTTGACTATGTTCACATCACTTAATTCCAGCTATCGCTCGTACTTTACGGCAAATCATGTTAGCCGTTAGCTGCCTACCCCAGTTAATTAGCACAATCGTTAGCATAACCGATAAAGGCAAATATTCACCACTTGCTAAAATCTCCTAAAAAAAAACACTCTATGGGCCATATTTGTATGAGTAATGCAATGTGAAAATCTGTGGAATACACCTCTCTGATCAACATGTTGCATACAGGTTTTCCATAGTTACAGAAAACCTGGAAAAGTCACATTTTCCAGGCCTGGAAAAGTCATGGAATTAGTAAAAATAATTGAAAGTTTTGGAAAAGTCATGGAATTTTGCTGTGTGTTACGAAATTGTTACAGTAATCTTCTATGGATAATCTTCCACGTAATGTAAAGTTAGCTAGTGTAAATTTATTTTCTCTAGCTGGTGACGTAACGTAGCTCTAATATGTGTCGATGTATGGAAACATTTGTTCACTATCTTGTATGTTTCTCCATTTTCTCCCAGCCATCTGTCTCTACCTTTATGGACGCCTGCTTGCTGAAATAATGTTTAAATAGAGTTTGAATCTGATATGTTATGGGCAAGAAGAGAAATTATTACGGGTCCTTGAAAAGTCAAGCCCCGAGGAACAGCGCCAGGCTTTGATGCCAATTTGACAAAGCGGCCGAAGCGTAAAATTACAACTTCCAGGTCCGTCACTTGATGCCATGAGGCCCAAAAAGCCTTTTTCCCATAGACTTACAATGTGAAAGAGATGTCTGTAAATGAGGGGATACATTTTTTTTTGAGAGTCACAGCCCCTGAGAAATGATTCGTTTCAAAATCAGAATTTGATCCCATGGTCTGATAACATTTCTGAAGTCTAGAAAAATGGGCTAAACTAGAATAAAGGTACTCTGGCAGCAGAAGTGTCAGATGTGCCACTAAGCAACTGTCATAGGAATGAACGAGGTCCCTCCAATGCTCTATTGAGTTTTCTTTGTACATCCATGGGCAGTGATTTCCAGGAGTCACATCGTCACTGTGAGGTTGTTAGGAAACCAGCTGAGTCCTGCACACACCATGCAAAATCCCAATTTGTTGTTTCTACACTTCGGTTTTGGGTGAATTAAACAAACGAGATTCATAATGTGTTAATTAGTGAGCTTTAGAGGTGCTGGTAGGTGGGTTTAGTTACATTTGGACAGAGCCAGGATAACTGTCTCTAGTCTTTATGCTAAGCTAAAATAACAGGCTGCTGGCTGTAGCTTCATTCTTACATAACAACCATGAGGGTGGTATCAGCTTTATCATCTAAGTCTTGGCACAAAAGCGAATAAATGTATTTCCCAAAATGTCCAACTATTCTTTTAAGAGAAAACACTCTTCTCTTACTTAAAAACCATAGACTAAGTGTTGTTGTATGATTAAACAACTGCAGGCTCATGTTTTTGTGTGAAAATACTGCAGATAAGTGGAGTTATAAATAATGTCAGCATTACAGTACAGTCAGAGGGGTTAGTTCATTAACACATGAAATATATTGGGATGAAATAGTCCTCTCATGTTAAACGGCTG